CTTCTCTTCATATACATACGCATACATATACGAGAGAACGCTGGCGCAAGCGATCCACCGCTATTATTAGACGTAGAAACCTCACCGTGGAATCCGAAGGATTTCGTTATTTTCCTATATAAAGATTTTCATTTCGCCGAATTTCTGTCACGATTCATGGCGATACGCTACGTATATTATCCGCCGCCTCGTCGCTCCTATAAGTTATTAATAGGAAACTGAACCGACGCGTCGTGCGCCACTATGTTTACCTTGCACGCGCACATTTTCCGGCGCTCCTGATTATCGATAGATCTCGCACAGCGCGGCGAACTGTGACGAATCGGCGTCGTCATCGCGAAATCGAGAACAGTGCCAGTTTCTCGGTTTCCTATATTAATATTGCTGCAATACCGCTAGGAGATATTAGTTTACGAGTTTCTTCTAGACATTCTAAATATAAGAAGGCGGTCCCATAAAACCGATTAGAGTAATGTTCCCATAATCATTTGTCCAATATACGTGGATACGATTTATCATCGCGGCCGTTGTATCCATATCTTTTCTATTGCTTCATGCCTAAATGTCGTGACAATCTTTTTTAAAACCGTCTTTTTTCCCCATCTTATATTATCGCTTATATTACGTTGATTTTATTGAGATAAGCTACAAATAGATTTTTTTTATTTTATAATAAATTCACGATCGAGACCGCATTGTGAATTACGAGTTTTGCACCATTTCGAGATGTTTTTCTTCTACTATCGTGCGTATGGTTGGTGATATTTGCGCGTCAGAACGATATTTAGAGCACATTAAATATACTGGCGCCGTATTATAAATAAGATTAGAAGTACATGATTTTAATATAAATAGAACCTCTCTTGAATATATATATACTATATATTTTCGGGAGGAAATATGCCGACCGATATTCGATGCTAGGTATACTAACGACACTTTAGAAATGCAACGATAAATTTTCATAATTTATAGATGTATTTTGTATTAAACGTTCGTTTTCCAAGTTTCCATTCAATGTTTCTGAAAGCGTAATAAAATTAAGCAATAACAGCAATTGAATTCGAATAGCAACAAAAGTTTTCATTAATTTTTTTATTCGTATCAATTTCTTTTTATTTCTCTAATTCTTTTATATATATATATATATATATTTCGTTATAAAGCATAGAAAATAATTAATTTATCTTAAGCGAGAATTCTATGATACTAAATATTTAAAAAAAAAAAAACCGAACTACATATATTCGTAATTTGAATAATTTATTAAGATTTCGATAAAGATTGAATCATTTTAATAAATCATGATAATATAAACTATCGTCATTCACATGTATATTCATGATATTGCAAGAAAAAAAAAATAATTATAAATGTAAAAATAATTATAATATGTATTAAAAATATAATCATTTTCATAATTAATTCGTCTTTACCCATATTAATATATATTTTATTTCATTAAATTAATTTCATATGCAATATTCAATCTTCCACAAACGCAATTTGATTATGTTAATTTTCAATTAATCAGATCTCTGACGATTTAATAATAAAAACATTCGAGAATCAAATAAAATAATCAAATTACTTAATTACTTTGCATCACTTCGTTTTAAATTTTCAATCAGGATTAATCAATCATCTAGTTTTTCTCAAAAGTCAGGCAACAACCGACTTAAATACTCGTTGGAGTTACGTAAAGACGCGTTTTGCTGGCGCCTCATATTTACTCCCTCTCTTTCCCTCCAACACCGTCTTTGTATCGATAGAAGGCGACTGTTTTTTTTTTTTTGTAATTGAATTTGCGTCGCCAATGAGCAGACAGGCGATGCCACACGAACGACGACGAAATTAATAAATTTTACGATTATGCAAGATGCCAGATAATGACACGAGTCTATATACCAGATGATTTTGTTATTTCTGTATGCAATTGGATCCTATTTCACGAGAATGCAAATAGATAAGTGTTTGAAGAAAATATGTTAAATTTCTGAATGATTTATGATAATTTTATTAATCGTATTGATGAAAAATTCTAAATATAAAAAATCGTTTATTTTCAGAGAAGAAAATAAAAATTCGATATTTAATGAAAAGAATTGTTTAAAATCAAAATTTAAAATAATAATATTTATTAGAATTATAATATAAACAAATTTTTTTTAATTGCAATAAAAATTTATTTCCTGTATATCCATGTTAGGAAAAAAGTAGAAAGTAGAGAAAATAAGGAAACTAAGATTAAATTCCAATGTTAATATGCGATGAATGGGCATTTTCTGAAAATATAGAGGGAATCATAAGTCTTGAAAAGAAAGTAGATGAAACGGAATTGATAGGTCTAGGGTGATTTCGATTGGAAAGATAATCGTACCTGCTATGAGTTTACAATGGAACACCATTCAAAACCTGTAAAAAATGTCGTCCAGCAGATGGGATAACAGGTATTGCCTACCTGCTAGACAACCATTTTATTTCAAAAGAAAAAGTCTGGCTGCTATTCTTCAATCCTAATATGACAACTCAATCGTTCAAGCGTATTTTCTTTCAAACGCTTTCGACTACACGAAAAATGAATAAAATATTTGATATATATATATATATATATATATATATATATATAATATATAATTAAT